CTTTCTTGTCCTCACGTGTCATGCCACTCTAGTTTTTAGGTTAACTTATAACCTAGTCGTTCTTACTTCTTACTTCTCACCTCTTGCGACTTTGTAGGGAGCAAATCTTGAGGTAGCATGTTCTGCCGTTTCTATAATCTCTGGTGGAGTGCAATCTAGGTCGCTATCAGTTTCAGTCATTTCTATTGTATACACAATTAATCGTGTTATATTTTGTATTGAAATAAAAAACTTACCATACAGTTTTTTAATTAAAATTAATTGCAATTAACTTTTTCAAATTTTGAATTCAAAATGACAGATAATAGTGCAATGGGTCTGAAGTAGATGGCGTTACGCGCGACGGCGGGTTGTATACGTATTAAAATTACGTTCACCGAATATGTAAATTACGTTCCACATGGTTTAAATAAAAATAGCGAGCGTAAATCATTTTCAATACATGTACATACGTATAGGTAACATCATTATTTGCATTGAATATGCAAAAATATTTGATTTGTATGTATAGAAATATCTTACAACCTGCAATGTAAAACGATGTCAATGTGACATATCTCCGTGATTGTAATTTTTTAATTGGCCAACTTTCAAGGTCAATTTCTTTTTGGTACTAGGACCAAAAGTATCCACTTTTTGTACAGTTGCCATGGTGAAAGCGATTAATCCGCAAAACGTCAATTTTACGTACCGAACACTGTCACAAAATAGTGTCTTATTCAGGTGGTTGGAGAAAAAAACTTTTTTTAAACGTAAGTGTGTTTGCTGGGTACGTGCCATTTGCTCCTTTTGTGGGTCCTAATTTATTCATGCAAGACAATGAGCGGACTGACGTGGCTAGTCAGGTTATTGATTACTTACATGCTGTTAATATTCCGTTCGTGGAATGGCCACCTAACAGTCCCGACCTCAACCCCATTGAGCATTTATGAGACCATCTTAAAAGAAAGATCCGAGGTCACAGACTTCCACCTACCACCCACAAATCAACTGGTGGGTGCGGTAATTGAAGAATATTCTCCAGGATATCATTGAAGATTTAATTGCTAGCATTACAAGCCGTGTGAATTCGGTAATTAAGGGTAGTGGAGGGCCTACAAGGTACTAAAGTGACATCGGACCCTTTAACTTTATTGCTAGCGATTGTTTAAACATTTTTCATTTTCATATCCGTTCCTTTTCAACAAAAGCGGTCCTTGATAAGGTCATGTTTCGCTGATTTCTTTCCCAAATGATTGTGTAAACCCAATTTCTAAGTTTTCACATGTAATACCACTAGTGCTTGAATTATTTCCGGAAATTTGTTCGAGCTCACGAATATTTTAAAAATATTCGTGAGCAAGAACAAATTTGTAGAATAATTCAAGCACGTGTGGTATTCGGTAAGAAAATTTCACACCATATTGAACCTCAACGACTTATTTGAAGATTTGTTCTCTTCTTCAAAATAGATCAAGATAGCCTTTGAATGACATTTTACAGATTTGAATTGAAATTGACCTTGACAGTAAGTTTATTGTGAGCGTGAACGAAGTGATTAGATTCGGTCAAGAAAATAAGGAAGTTATTCGTAGCGAAATTCAGCACCTAACGTCCCAGAATACTAAGGAATCTAAGTCAAGTGTTTGGAAGCAGTTTACTGACTTTTGCTCTGAAAAAAGTTATGTGTTATGATAGGGAAAACATATCTGTAAAGGAATTGGCAATGATTATGGAAGATTATGGATTTAATATCTACCCAATTGTATTTATTTCTGCTAGAATACTTTTTTATAACGCGGGTAAGTGACGTTTTATGTCAAAACGTTCTCCTATGACGTCAAAAAATTTCCACTATAATTCGCTGTAGGTTACCCCTGCAGGCAAAAATTTCCGATAAATACCTCGGTTACCATGATAACGTGAGACGAAATCTGCATTTCATTGGTCGAAAATTGTTGGTGTGAAATTTTCATTATAATACCATAAGTAGTCGAAGTATTGTCGAATATTTTTGAGGTGCTGTCACGAATGAGTGGAGCAGCAGCTCAAAAATAATCTACAAATACTTCGACTACGAATGGTATTCGGAGGACTATTCAATGAATCAAAAGAAAAATTAAGCATAATTACCCACGCGAATGTATTTCCATGACAACAATAAACGTCAAATAAATTATGGAAGTTGCTTTTCATTTTGCTATTGATTCTATTCGAACTTTTGTGCTCCAAGCTAATTCGTTATGAGTGATTAAATTAAAAGATGTGGTGATAAGTCGGTTGTCGAAATTGATTAACAAACTAAGAAGAATGTTCTGGTTAATACGACAAAATTTCGCGTCATTTCACTGGTGGAAGTTTGACAAATGTCATTAAATAATCGCATTGAATTGTCGCTGAAATACCACACGTGAAATTATCGTAGGTAATTGCACAAGTGCATCAAAATTACCGATAATTTTTTTGAAAGCATGTTGTCTAAAAACTGCATGAGTTTATTTTCATATTTTGGCGAAAGAGCCCGACACCGAAGGTGGAGGGCTCTTTTAACAACATATGAAAATGACCGAATGCAGTTTTTTTACTGACAACATGCTTGAATAAAAAATTATCAGGTTTATTTTGATGCATGAGTGTAGTTTAGGGGAATATTTCCCGAAGAAGCATTACTTGTCAAACTGACGTTACCTACTTATAAATTGTCGGTGTATTGTGAAATTGTCCAAAGGAGTTGCCAGTTGCCATGGATATGGACAGTGCAATTATCGCAGGGCTCTTTCGCTTTCTACAGTGCAATTATCGCTGTAATTGAGGGATAATTGCACACCTCATATGGCATTTATGACATATGAGGGAAATATTCCCCAAAATTACACTCGTGCATCAAAATAAACCTGATAATTTTTTATTCAAGCATGTTGTCAGTAAAAAACTGCATTCGGTCATTTTCACATTTCGTTAAAAGCCAAAATATGAAAATAAAGGAAATTTTTTTTCCGGGTCGATCTGAAACAATTTTTTTTTCGGGCCTCAAAAAAAAGGCAGTGTATAACCCTCCTTTTTTACCAAAAATCGACTACACCAAAATTTCTCGGGAAAACACTTTTTCTTATTAATTTTGGGGCGTAGAATCCAAAACAATTCGTACTTTTTCGATTAGGCTTCTCAATCAAAAGTTATAGACTAGAAACCAATTTCGAAAGAAAATTCAAAGGGCTGTAACTTTTGAACTAGTACCCCAATCTTCGAACTGTTTCAAATTATGGATTCTACAGGGCACATTCTATAAGAAAATTTTTTTTCCGGATCGATCTGAGACAATTTTTTTTTCGGGCCTCAAAAAAAAGGCAGTGTATAACCCTCCTTTTTTACCAAAAATCGACTACACCAAAATTTCTCGGGAAAACACTTTTTCTTATTAATTTTGGGGCGTAGAATCCAAAACAATTCGTACTTTTTCGATTAGGCTTCTCAATCAAAAGTTATAGACTAGAAACCAATTTCGAAAGAAAATTCAAAGGGCTGTAACTTTTGAACTAGTACCCCAATCTTCGAACTGTTTCAAATTATGGATTCTACAGGGCACATTCTATAAGAAAATTTTTTTCCGGATCGATCTGAGACAATTTTTTTTCGGGACCCAAAAAAACGCAGTACTTTTAAGTTATTTAAATATTTGAGAACAATTTAGAAGTGTTTAGGGAAAGTTTCCATTGTCACAAAATCAAATATAAAAATCCGATACAACTGAATACCGAACGATCCTGGAGTGAAACTTTTTGACTCGATAGTCTACGTAACTTGAAAACAATAGATACCTTTCTTATATCCTTAAGACCATGTGTACCAATTTTCAAAGCGATCGCATGTTTCTAAACAAACTGTCATGCACACGGACAAACGGATGGTCAAAAATGGATCGGGTTCAAAATCGCTAGGATTAATTTCAGAAAGGCGTACGTATCATGTGCACGACGCTTTGAAAACTGGTACCTACACGTATTCTTAAGGATATAACTGGTATAAGAATAAGGTCCTGGTAGGTACCTCCTATATAATAATAATACGCTTTTACTCCCCTTAAATTTGTATATAACAATAGAAATATAAAAAAAGCCAACCCCATACAAAGTATAACTTGATTTTTTAAGTAGTACTTATTAAGACTTTTATCTAGTATACTATTTTAAATTTTTAATGTATTTGAGTGACAAGTATTTGAATACTTTTCAAAGTATTCGAATATTTTTTATAGTATTCGAATACATTCTAAAGTATTTGAATACTTATTTTTTAAAGTATTTTAAAACTTTTCAATGTATCTGTATCTAGTATTCGCTTGTGCTGGGCGTGAAAGTATTTAGTATTCAAATACCTTTGATTTGTGTAAAGTATTTACTATTTAGTATTCAAATACTTTTTGAAAGTATTCTACCCACCTCTGGTGGTAACTTTCAATTTTATTCGAAAAGATCTTTCTTTTTTAAGGAAATGTGAGCTTTTGAAACAAACCAAATAATGGCGTCGACATTTACTTTTAAATGTAGCCATCACGGCAACTAACTACTTTAAACCAAAATTGCAGTCTGATCTTCAATTTTTATCGTGTTGATGGACTGGTATATATTATCGACTATCAACGGGTATTATACCCCTTAGAACTTACTTTTTACATATGTGTTCTACTTTTAACATACAAGAATATTAAGCGATATACCTAAAGTGGTACACAGTGGTGCATACAAGCATCTTTAATAGAGGCATTTTAAGAAACATTTCCGATGGAAACGCAATCTTTGATAAAATCGCCACAAAAAAAACACTTGATCCACTTGTCGTCTCATTCTGAACTGAATCATCACTGCTCTAAAAGAAATCAGTCATGTATGTATTACATGTGCACAGTAGGACATTGATATAAAACAGTACTTCCTTTGATTTTACTACATTATTACGCTAGAACGCATCAGTAATTTAGTTACAGAAAAATTGCCCTAAACCTTTTTTTCTTTCATTCTCAGGTTATGGATATGACAGAAGCACAAATGTCGAGAAACATAAAAAACCGAGACGAAATCGAACGACTTTTACAACGGTGCAGTTAACGGCGTTGGAGAGGGTGTTCGAGAAGACCCATTATCCCGATGCATTCGTTCGAGAAGATTTAGCTTCCAAAGTTTCTTTAAGTGAAGCGCGTGTACAGGTGCGTATCTATACCATAAGCTTTCACCTGCTGCAACGAATTTTCAGGTATGGTTTCAAAACAGACGAGCGAAATTTCGACGCAACGAACGAAGCGTCACCCTCCAACAGAATAACGGCAGAACGAACCCATCCCCTACTACAAAAGGCTTGGAAACTCCAACAATTTATCACCAAACGCCACCAATTGCGTCAGACCTTCAGTACGTGCTGCCTTGGAAATGTTCCCATTATTCGAATCAGGATTTGTACAGTGGTCCTAATAGTTTAAGTGGCTTAAATACGCAAAGTTGTGGATTTTTACCTTCCAGTTTGAGTTACTGTGCTTCAAACATTCCCCCTAGCACTGTATATAATCACCTGGACATGAGTTCTTTGCGATACCGTTCTGAATTTCCACCCCCACACGCCCATATTTGAAATAAAATGTAGATGTAAATAAATATCATTTAAGGTAATCAGTTATTTTATGTTACTTTATTACAACTATTTTACCTCAAGCCATCGCTCCACATTATAAGAGCAAACGGAAGGAGAAAAAATATGGGTGAGTCCTCTTCTCAGCAACTTTAAGACCTGGAACACTGCAAGTAATAGTTTCACCTATAGGTTTTCGGTTATACCCTTTCCGATTTTACCATTATTTTTAATTTTTTACTTCCAAGCACATTTAAACGGTGCGATGGAGCGACAAAATTTTGAGCTCTGGGACGTTTCAACATAAAAATTGCCCATTTACTTAATTAAGAACAAATTTGTCAAGCAGTTTTTTACAATTTTAAAAAATAGTTCTGGCATTTTTGATCGAAAATGCCACTTGCCTACAAATTATGTGCAATGTGCAGATCGCGGGTAGGATTCTAAAATACTCGCATTAATTGGTTTTTAATTATTAAACGAATATTTAGTGGGGTAACTTTGAATCTTCTTTCACTTTATAAGAGTCATAACTCAAAGGAATAAAAGCGAGCGGTTCATTTTCTTACACCGAAGTAGATGTTTACCTGTAGATTATGGGGGGGGAGATCTTTACACATGACCATTTAAAGGCCGCCTGGCATACCTTCAAAATCTACGCTATATAATACAAAAAAAATCAAGACCTTAGAGAAAGTCCAGAAATATGGCATTATCCCTTTGTAGGGGGTCTTCTCTTCTTCCTTCTTTCCACTCCTGTCTCGCCCACGCGATTCATTTTGCTCCCTTCCGACAAACCGATTTCGAGATGGTCTTTGCCATCACCGATGAATATATTTCTTCCAAACGTCCCAATTGCCCTTTGTCAGCACTTTCCTCTGAAAATCCGCTATTAAAATATAAGGAATTATAACCGATTACGATAAGGGGTCGAGGAAGAGGACTATGGTTGGTAGAAAACAGTTCCGTTTGTTGAGACCTTTATAATAAATAATAATGAATAATAAAGCTTATTTAATGTTCCGTAGAACAGCCTACATACATTAGTCAATACAAAAGCAAATTAAAAATATTACAAATAATGTAAGAACAAATTTCAATTAGATTAGTCACTGGATAGTTTGGGCAACCCTCCTATATATAATGTTTGCAATCCTCCTGTATAAAAACAACATTTGTGACTATCTTCATGTAGGTTATTGTTTCTGTTACTTTAACCTTACTTTTTTTAAAATCTTAAATAACTTTGGATTATTTCATTGAAATTCTAAAATGGATTACGACGATTATGATGATTTCGACGACTTTCTATCGGTATAAAAAAAATTATCGTACTACAAATAATGAATGTTTACATTTTAGGATGATTCCGATATTTCCGTTAATATGAACCATCCCAGGCCGCCACCCGAAGTAACATACGAGCAGAAGCTTCAAAACCTTTTCTTTTATATTATGCGTGGGAACCTGGAAGGAATTTGCGAATTACTCGATTCGGGTTAGTATATAAATCAGTTGCGGAGTATTCCAATTCCTGCTTTGCAGGCATAGAAACCAATTGTGCTTTACAAGATCGTTGGAAACCACTGACTTTAGCCGCATCTGTTGGTAACGAGCAAATCGTTCACGAGTTAGTTGTACGCGGTGCAGATGTAAACGATCACCGAGATCATGTTACTGTATTAATGCTGGTATGTAGCTGTCTTGAAAAGAACTCGCCATTTGAAAAGTGTTACGAAATTGTTGTGGAGTTAATAGAATGTGGCGCCAAAGCCGATGCGTGTACCCGACGAAAAGAAACTGCTTTAATGTTTGCGTCTGGTATTGGAAATGCAAAAATTGTAGAGAAACTGCTTACATGTTCGAATATTTTAGCCGAAGATCAACGAGGATGGAATGTACTGTAATTGTGTTTTTACGTTATTTTACTTGATTGTTGCAGGCACTATTTTGGGCTGTAAATTCTAATAAGGTAGAGATAGTTAAAATACTTCTGAATGCGGGATTGAATCATACAAAACCAGATGTGTGCGGTAATACACCTTTGGAATTGGCAAAAATGCAGGAATTTACCGAGATTATCAGCCTTCTCTCGGAGGATACTGGCGATACAATGTGTGTGCCAATGAAGAACACTTACGACCTAGAAGATTTTTTATCAGAGTCAAATAGGTATGTAACATCACCTGTTGGACATGCACCTTATCCGTTTTCCTTTCAGGCCTCAATTTCTGCCCGATATTCTTTCAATTCTGTATGGGGCACGGTGTGAAAGCCTTCAAAATCTATTCGTAGATACTGATTTACTAGCATTCTTATCTTCAAATGAAAATTCTTTATCGGAACTAGGAGTCAGATTGCCTTACCAACGCAAGAGGATATTAATGGGTTTAAGCAACTTTCATAAACATTTGTTTAAGAAGAAATCAATTCCAACTGTCCCAAAAAATGCGGAATATACAACTATTGATGTCTCTCACGCTTTATTTGCAGCAGTACGTCACTTGACTGTAATGGAAGCTAATTTGGTGTACATATTACAGTCCAATAACCATGATTGGAACGAGTATGCCGAGAGTATCAGCAGCATAAGAAGAAAGTTCATTTTTATGAAAAAGGTTGCTAATGATTTAGACAGGTTAACGCAACAGGTAGGTCTCATATTCAATAAGTACAGGGAGATTATTTGAATTGTTTCAGTGGGACCATGGCAGTAAACCTGTCGATTTGATCATAAGAACGAAGAATTCATGGTTGAAGCTTATCAAAAAGTTCACCTACTGCGGTATTGTTCTAATTGGTGGTACTTTTTTAATTAAAAAAATTATTTAAGCGCAAAGTAATGAAACTGACATGTGATTGTGATATTACTATCATTCCTAGCCTTTTTATTGCTAATGTCATTTGTTGTGCCATTATTATCCACTTCATTACAATTTAAGTGTTTAAAATATGCCTTAAACGTATTGCTGCCAAACATTGAAAAGTGTAATCTATGCATTGTTGGTCTAACAACATTTTAAAAAAATGGGAGTGTTTACCCCCTAGTTTATGTAAGTTACTTATCTTCATTTCTGAACACCTGAGAGGTGGAAGTTGATATCATTACTTAAATAAGAAACAAAGTTGTCTTTGTAATCATATTACCTTAATTGAATAATAAATTTTAGCACACAATTAAATTATTATTTATTCAATGCATGAAATAGATGGCTATAGGAAACCAACATTAAGTACATGTGCATTAAGAGTTGTTTTTACAGTTCTCAAACTATTACCATTCTAATGGCCGTTTGCACCAACAAAGTTAAGCAGAGCTGAGCATAAGCGTAGCTTAAAATCCATGGCAACGATTATTGAGACAATGGTAAGCTGGTAATGGCTAAACTCGGCTTAAATTTGTCAGTGCAAACGGGCATAATATCATTAATTTAATATATTTCAAACTTTTTGTCTTTGCTATTCGCGATTCAGATTGAGACCTATGCGGTTTCAACAGGTATGTGCATATAAGACCGCCATTCTGTTTATTTACAATGGCCAAAAGTAATCAATATTGTAGTTTTTTTTTACTGCAAAAGTAAATACACTTGCAAAAATTACATTTGAATCAATGTATAGAAATGTGTATGAAAATAATTTGTAATGTATGAAAAGTGCCATCTTAGACCGCCATGTTGAATAGAATTTCAAACCTGGTGGCTGTGAAGCAGCCCTAGACCACAAAACAGAACAGTTTTGTGCCCTAGACAGAAACTTGTCTAGGCGAGTGACTGGAATACTCTCGGAATTACATATTTTAAAAATGAATATTGAACTCACATTAAATCCCATTTTACCTGCCTTTTCTCCAATTATCAGAGAAATAATAAGAAATACATTAACGGATCTGGATTTTGGTGAGTTACCTGCCTCTCGATGTTTTCCTACTAATCGGGCAATAATTTCAGGTATCTCGGGTCAACCTTTAAGAATTAATGCTGGATCTACAAAAATGTCACCCAATGAATACATGGAAAAGTACATCGACAGTTTTAAGCTAGAAATACCTTATGCAGGGAAAACTCTGGAATGGGAAGTAATTTTTCAAGAAGAGGATTTTGCGTACGCGCCCGATTTTAATTTTATTAATGATTCGTTTCTGTCTGATCCGGATGTGAACGTGATCAACGATCATGTGCCCAGCCTTTCCAAATGGAACGTTGCAGATAACAAATGCTTCAACAGAGTAATTCGCGAATTTCTGGTGTTGTATAAGGAGTTACAGGTGCGTGTTCCCAATTAACGAAATTCAAGTTGACTTAAAACAACTTTTAGCTATTGAAATTTCAAACGGAAACGTGTTACTCACGACTTTCAAGTGAATATGATGATCTACTTAAGAATTCTTCTTTATCTAACACGGATGTAGAGCTCTACATTGATACTGCAGGTGCCGTACACATCCTCATGCCTATCCTGGTAGACTTTACTTGTATTCCACCCTATGTTCAAGAGTAAGTTGTATAAATTGGGAGAAAATTATAATTTTTATTCGTAGGCAAAAAGGAAGTGGAGAATGTTTAAATCCGCATAAAGATATAGCAAAGTTAAAGATTTCATTCTCAAAACCTGAGTATAGTAAAATCCAAAGTACTTTACAACTTACCCCACGCCTTGAACAAGTAATTGGAAGTGCTACTAACCTAAGAATTCCAGTTTATAAAAAAGACACGACATTGTCGGCCTACGTTACCGAGATAACAAAATTATTAAAAAATAGAGTAACATTCCTTGCAGACCACTACCGCATGAAAAACGACTTCATTACAACTTTAATTGCAGAATGCGGCTTAAACATTGTAGAATATGACAACATATTATTTTCAAAGGCTACTTTACTATTTAATGTTAACGAAGTATATGCATTAGTGATAATCTGTCTTGGTAAGTTATGGTAACGTATAATCCTTTGTTTAATTGAACTTCTCCAGGTGACAAATTTCCACAAGAAAAACCTAAACTTACACTGAACTCCATTTATTATTTGAAGAACGATAAACCGTACTCCCAAATTTTAGATGCGTACCCTTACAGTCCAAGATGGAAGTGTGACGAAATAATTAAGCGTTTATTGATATATCTTCAGGAACAAATACCTAAGTTTCACGCTGTGGCCCAACAAAATTTCAGTATTTAGTGTATTTTTGAAATGTGTTTATTAAAGTTTTGTTAACATCACTTTACTGATTCGTACAAGTTTAAGATGTTGGAGTGCTATAAGGTCACCGTCCCATAAGCGAAAAGCGGCAAGATCGGCCTCTTCCATAATGTTTGGCATCTCTACAATACATACTGTTCTTAATTTCCAGAGGAATTTCAACGTACCTAATCCACAGGTGTTATATTCTTCCTTTTCTCGCTGAATTGTCATTTTAATGACATCTTGCCGATTTGCGTGCTGTCTGTTTTTACGATTCCCGATCGAATCCTTAATCGCAATTTGTTCCAATTCTTCATCGAAACGTGAAAGATAACTTTCAATAAGCTCTTCTGTTTGCTGTGCGCTGCATTTTGTCACTGAGCTGTCTACACGATCTAAAAACCATTGTATCTTATTTGCGATTACTGAACGTTTTAGATTTTGCACTTGATTGCTTTCATTACGTAAGATTATCCTACAAATTAAAACGGTACGCTCTAAGTTTGCCTACAACTGATGCATACATTACCTTCTTGTCTTTTTTGACAAGGCTTTGGTTTTACGGCTGTTGGGGTGCTTACATTTTGACAGTTCTTTTGATAGGTTGCGCTAAAAAACATTAATTTACAAGTTATATTTCAAAATTCTATCTGTTAGTACCATTTTTAAGAATCAAAATACAATGGTAATTACTTGCTTAATAAGAGAAGAAAAGATAGGTTAAGTCACGTGGTCTACAAAAGCAGCGTTGCCAGATGGTTTTAACCTAAAAATTTCTTTGGGTTAACAACAAAAAAATTCCTCTTTTTCTCCTGGCTTAATTTAAAATGTTAAAGAGATATCATGGTATTATCATTGTTCTTCTTTATTTATTGCACCTGTCCCAGTGCCATAACAAGTACTCAAAGGAGGCGAACACAAAAGAGGAGGACTTGCCTCCCCCGTCCTTAAAAACGCTACAAAAGCCTTTTCGTATGGCAAAAATAAATATATTATGGGCTAAAGCGCAATTGGTAAGTGTATCGTAATCGAGCACTTCGTCTAATTGGAATATTTCAGCGACTCTCTGACCCAAAGTTGAAATCGTTATTTGGCGAACTAAAGCTTCACGATAAGGAGGAAATAACGTGGAAAAAGTTAAAAACAGAAGGCAAAGATAAGGAGGGACTAAAGGAAGCCGAGCTCCGAAAGAAGTTACTGCACATAATGGAAATGTATGGATTATTAGAGCATTTTCAAGATGTAATGGGCTCTGGTAAACCTGTGCAAGACAAGATTTTTAATGATGCAGATGATCATATAAATAAAAGCTTGTTCAAAGACAAGAAACTGAACAAGCTATGGTCGAAGGCCGAGAGTGCCGGCTTTACATATCAAGAATTACAAGCACTGCGAGAAGAGTTTAATCACCACCAAGACAAAATTGACGAATATTATTCCATCTTGCATGATGTTAAGGAGAACACCGATGACGGCGATGAGAGTATGAACTTCTTTAAAGTGTACATGTCTAATTTCACCTTTTAGATTCAGTTGACGAGAAATTAGAGCGTTTTAACTCCATCAATCGTGAAGAAATACCCGAAAAGGATTATATCGATAAAGCAAATCTATTAAGAGAGAAGCACACAGACCTACGCGATGGTTTCGATCGCTTACACCGTATGGCGTCAAAAGGTCCAAACAGTAAAGAGTTTGTGGAGCCGAAAGTTGAAGGATTGTGGAAGATCGCGTTAGACACAAACTTTAGCCCTGAAGAATTGGAATCTCTACGAATCGAATTGCTACATTACGAAAATCGACTTCTAAAGCTACGACATTTACAAGCCGAAGCAGCTCTAAATGAAGACAGAAGAAAGGAAAAGGAGAAGTTATCAGGAGGAAAAAGTGACGGGATCTTAATGCTTGAAGATAGTATCAAAAAGCAAGCGAGGAAAGTGGAAAAAATACACATAGATATTGAGTCACGTATTATGCAGAAACACATCGAGCTTTAGTTAAAAAGTATATTATAAGTGTATATATAAATCTTATTCTACATTTTTTGATTAAATCTAAGAATCACTTTCAGTTATATCGAAGTTATTGCAAAATTCTTTACATATGGTTACAGTGGACGTTCGTAAATTTGTTGCCAATATTTGTTGGATTTGTGGTGCACTAAAGGTGTCCCCTTCTTTAAACGCATCCATAAGAGTCCTATACAACATGTTCATATTATGCTTTAACTTCGTAGAAAAAAGGTCATGTTGAGCAACATAGTTGGACAGTTTACCCCTTGACTCTTCCAAGTTATCAGTAAGCTTTTTGGTCAGCTCAGTCAAATTTTGTATTTCAGCCTGTTTTACACTTTGTTCGCTCTCCAAGCTTTTAATAGTCAACATCTGTTTTTCAATTGTTTCTACTAAATTCTGGTGCACTTTCGTTGTATCTTCCAAGGCTCGCATTTTTAATTCCTGTCTAACAATGGTTTCCCTACAATCGCTGTTTTCCTTTTTTAATCGATCAATTTCATCCAGATTTTCTCGTAGGGTGAGTTTGCACTGCTCATGTTCATTAAACAATTCGACATACCTAGGGTCCATTCTGTCAATTTGGGATTGTAAAGGCCTACCGTTTACAACCCCCTCCATAATTTTATCCAGCTTGTTGGAAAGCTGCAACATGTTCATTCTCATCTCGCAGTTGTGAGTGCGATTTTCGGCTAGGAAAATATTGAACATGTCGGGCGTTTGTGAAACTTGCAGGAATTGGTTGGCGACTGCTTGTTGGGGTAATGGATGACTATTTACTAATGCAACGTCCGATGTATGTTCTACATTTGCACTTACGTGTTTTGACTTTCTTTTTGTTCGCTTTAATATAGTATTGGTATCGTCTGATTCACTATCAGCAGTCTTAGGTGAGCTTGGTAAAATCGACTGACCCATTTTTGCCATTCGCGTTAGTATACTTGCTTTAGTTGTTGAAGTATCCGATTCACTTTCTGGTTTATCAACTACAGGTTGAGTAATGTGCACATTGTATGTTTCAAGGTGAGTGGTGAAGATATCCAAGTCACCATTGTCGAAGTGCACCGACCAGTGCTCTTGCCGATCATCTGAGAAGTTTGCAAAATTATTGGTTTGTATTTTAAATCTAAAATCCACGTTCAATTTCGAACGTGAAATTATATCTTGCTTTGATTTATATAAAATCAGTTCATACGCATTTAGTGTTTCAATTCCTATTATTGCTATGCCACATTTGCCTTGGTCAACATATTTGCCATCAACTCTAAGAACATAAATTAGTCGCCATTACACAACTTACATTTCCTTACTGTTTAAAGACGTTTACAAATTTGGAAATAAGTAGGCTACTCTGTGGGCTGCGTTTTGGCGATATTGTCACTTCCTGCTTCTCAACTTTTGGTTGCTTTGGTGCGGTATAACTTAAACTGGTATCATCATTCTTGAGAGTCATCGTAGCACCAAATAAAGCAGCCAAATTTGAGCTGTGAACAGTGAATAATAGTTAATCGTCTCACGGATTTAACTACCTTGCAGCTGGATCAAATAGGTCTTCATCTTCAGTTCCTGCAAACATTCTTAAAAATACACCAATACTTGCTTAGATACATTAAAAAAACAACTTTGAGGTTATGTGATTATGCTGAATGAACAGTAGTTCTTATGAACTGTTATGGTTATACCGGGTGGCGCAAAAAGAATGGTCACTTTAGACAAAGTTCAAGCATTGTTTAAAGTATTTAAACAATGGTTCAAGTAATTTTCAATAGAAGTTTTATTTATTTATATACTATACAGAATCTACTTAATGCAATTATAGAAAATCGGTCCTAAGAATGTTCATTCCGTGACGGAAAATAGCTTTCTAGCCCCACTACTCAAATGGAAGTACTGGAAAACTTGCAGAAGGATCAATATCAACACCAAAACACCTGACACCATTAACAAAGAAATTGGTTAGGCCCACATGTTGGGAAAAAACTGTTTGCTAAGAGAATTGACAAAAGGAACTGTGGATAAAAAAGGGAGTAGAAGAGGGATGAAGAAAATACTTATCAACAGTAAAATTTTGGTGTTATTCGCCCCATAGCACCAATTGATCCCATCCCGTACAATAACAAAGTTAGTGCAATTACAATTTATTATAACACAAAGTATAAATTCACTGTTAAGAGATTAAAAATTAAAATAAATATGTTTAAAGGAAATAAAAATTGCAAAATATCTAAAGATTATGCTGGGGATGCATTTGATCTCGTCATTCTGGTAACTTGCTCTCGCCTACAGTCCTCCACTTGTCTCTCCAGTTGCTCTTTTAAGATAAGCAACTCCCTAATTCGTTGATATACCGATTCCTGTAGGACATACATTTGTATTTTGAATAAGTGCACCTGTCTTATATACCTGAGTTCTCATACTTGGATTCCAACGGCAATAATACGATTTCCACAATTTTATATGCCTTATACTGGCTATAGGTATTAACACTAATTGTTGATGGGTGTTTGCCCAGTATAGGGGATTATAATACAAATCAAGCTGACTATTCGTATACGACCACAAAGAGGTAGTATGCTCTTTGACCCCCTCTTGCACTCGTTCCCTTTCGCTATTTCCCAAAAAGGTACCAAATCTATTGCTGTATAAATGATCTAAGATTGTTATTAAAAAGTGTTCGTTAAATTCAAAAGCGTTAGGGAATTGCTGAGTAATTTGCCAAACACAATCAACAAACTGCAGAAAAACTGGAGATCGATCCGCATCCGAATGATGGTCATCACCATGTCCAATACGCTACAAAATCACCATTAAAAAAGCCAAGACACTCCCCCTACAATACCTGCTGAAATTTGTGACCGAACGATAGCCATTCTTTCTCAATGAGTACCTCGAAACCTTTTATTGTACGGTAGTAAGGATCGAGCATCAACATAGATAAAGCCGTTAATTGTGCAGTACGATCCCAACCGTCTGAGCAGTGGACTAACACCGAAGTCTTATGATTCTCGACTTTATCAACAATCCGAACTGCACCAGCTAAAATACACTTGATGTGTTTTAACCAGTACGTAGATTCCACTCCCGATAACCATCTAGTCTCCTCAATGTTTGGGAAGCACAACTCCTTCAGTTTACGCAGCGATTCTCTCATAACATGTATGTTATGAATGTCAAGAAACACTAATTCCGCATTTTGATACGCATCTTCCGATTCATACCTATACATTGTGCTATTTATTAGCTAAGTGTATAATGTGCACTTACCCTCCTCCTTTTGCTTTATTAGCAATTGCGTTCGCACTAGGTCTCGCATCCATAATATACATCTTATGCGACTGCGCGTTAGCATCCATTATTAGCTGAATGTAACGTTCGTCTTCCCTACATCTCTTTCCACTAACCTGCACACCATCAAGATACATTCACAATTGTTTTGGATTCTACGCACCAAAATTAATAAGAAAAAGTGTTTTCCCGAAAAATTTTGGTGCAGTCGATTTTTGGAAAAAAGGAAGGTTATACACTGACTTTTTTTTTGCCCCGAAAAAAAATTGTCTCAGAACGACCCGGGCAAAAATTTTTCTTATAGAACGTGGCCTGTAGATCCATAATTTCAAACAGCTCCAAGATTGGGCCACTAGTTCAAAAGTTACAGCCCTTTGAATTTTCATTCGAAATTCGTTTCTAGTCTATAACTTTTGATTGATAAGTCTGATCGAAAAAGTACGAATTGTTTTGGATTCTACGCACCAAAATTAATAAAAACAAGTGTTTTCCCGAAAAATTTTGGTGCAGTCGATTTTTGGAAAAAAGGAAGGTTATACACTGACTTTTTTTTTGCCCCGAAAAAAAAATTCTCAGATCGACCCGGAAAAAAAATTTTCTTATAGAACGTGGCCTGTAGAATCCATAATTTCAAACAGTTCCAAGATTGGGCTACTAGTTCAAAAGTTACAGGCCTTTGAATTTTCTTTCGAAATTGGTTTCTAGTCTATAACTTTTGATTGAGAAGTCTGATCGAAAAAGTACGAATTGTTTTGGATTCTACACACCAAAATTAATAAGAAAAAGTGTTTTCCCGAGAAATTTTGGTGCAGTCAACATACCCCAACTAACGGTTGAGAGCATCGTGTAATTGTGGCCTGTGATTCTGTGTGTATCCAGCTAAGAACAGGAATGCGACCTCGGCTACGAAAACTAGCAACTGTGTGGACGTCATCATCGGTCGCTTGGGCGGGAATAGCCCACACAACCGGGTAACTATCACAAACGTCATAATTCTCATTAATCTTTGTGATTCTCCACATATCATTATTTACACCCTAAACATACAAGAATAACGCCCACATTTAGCACAAATCGAATCTTACCATTCGCTTCAGTTCAGCTATGGGCTCATATACACACCAGCCGTTTTCAGTAAAGACCCCAGCATACTCAAAGGCAAACAATTTAATTTTGTGCGAAAGCGGAAATGCGTACTGCTGTAGTTTTTCAAAAACATCCCTCCTTGAATGATTCTCCTGCTTGTGGGCAAAACGTAAATTTCTCATATCCTTGCAGAATACTTCAATTCCGTAGGCATTTTCACCGCGTGACGAAGCTCCCCCCACTTTTTCAATACGTGAAACCTACAAACATGCATCTACACTCGGAAAACAAATCACACACCTACTTACCACGCCCAAAGGAACGTCAACTACATTTGGCGTATCTCTGTCAACCGATCTGAAGTACAGTTTGTAATTCGTAACAGTTAAGACACCACGAGCAGGTCCGTAATATGGGCACAAATATGTGACATCCCTGGCCTGGCCGCAAATTTTTTCACCTTGTAAAAGTGGCGGTTCTTCTGGTCGTAATAGCACATTCTCTGTATTTGCAGCCTGTAACATCTACCTTAGGTTTGAACTGTTTATAACAACGCAATTACGTACTTTAATCACTTTTCTGCGCTCTAATGTTGAAACGACATTTTCAGTGGATGTTGAACTGGACGAACAGTAACTTTTACTAGGTGACGTCTTCCCCCAACTTGCCTGCAAGTACATAATTGAACGAAAATACCAAATTTAAAGTTTCATACAATATCTTGTTTGGAATTATGTGAATTTGAGTGGATGGAGTCTAAGCTTAAATTTTTGTTGTACTGTGTATTTTCACGGTCAATGTTTAATAGTTCTACACTTCCACGTTTAGCCATTTTTTAAGTGACAATTTCATTTAATTTCTAATTAATTAAACTCTAAAACAACGAAGATAAATAATGAAAGAAAATGAAATGAGGTTAGGATCAATGAAGATTTATGACTGTCATAAAATGGCTGCGTTCAATGAATCCTTGACCAATGTACAGAGTCGTCCGTTTTGTAACCGCTTTGAAATATATTGTTTATACTGAATCAACAATATGGCCTTTAGAAATATTTTTTCCATAGCGGAATTGTACTAGATTGCTCAAAATTTAGATCAGTTGAACCAACAAAATTCAGAAAATATCCAATCAAATTCCCTAATTCTCTCACTGATCCAATGTTGTATTTAATGGGCCTATTTAATTTTCAATCTAGCTCTTTACCGTAAACGTTCAATTATCATCTAGTATGCAGTGTGTCCCCAAAAAAAACACCATACATGGCACCTTATTAGTCGCAACTGGTTCGGGTCTGATAGGAGGGTACCTTTCGTTTTACAGCGACCAGCCTGCTCTGAGAACAGGTGGTATCACGATGGTTATATACTCTTGTTTCTATTTATAAAGCTCCGACTCCAACAAAAGTAAACTTAACCGTTTCTTAGGCACACAGTCTTTGAATACCAACATGAATGGTTTTACCTCTTAACATACGGAATATAAACAGTTAACTTTACTGTATTTTATATTAGTAGTAATAATCCAGTTTATGTAATTAAATCATTTATTTACGAAACGCATTGATGTTATTCATAATAATAAACACAGAATGTAACTACGACTTTAATCAAAGTAATTTGCGAATGTCAGTAAACAACAAACTAATTTATAAAAGAAGAACGAACTTGAAAGTCATGTTTTAATTTCGCGCACTTTCACCATTTATTTTTAATGCAAGAGTCAACAGTTGAATCTAAAAGATTACACTAAGATTTAACTAAAGCAGAAGTCTGTAGTTTGAACACTAGAATAAAGTTTGTTGACTCAATTCACTTTTGATAACAATAAGTGATACAATCCAGGCTGCCTATAGTTTACTAACTACTACAGTAGCTAACAAGAAACGAGTCCACACAATATTACAAGTACATGAATTAGTTGCGAGAACTCTATTATCAGTAGTACATAATATGGCCCACTCGAAAGGGCTTATAAATTAATAAACATCCACCAAAAGTTGTGCTAATAAGTTCCTTAAACACACACTGGAGATCCACCTTACTAGCACTCATTAGACACGCACTAATCTATACATATCTAACCATTTCTAGATTGCGACTGGGATTATCATCGTCAATCCCAAATACAACAGCATTTATAGTAGCTTGCAACAGAAATGGAAAATTTGGATAAATACATGACATGAGCAAGATCAGTCACACAAGAATACATTTTTAAAGATCGCTATGCGAACAATACACATTTAAAAGTTTCTAACAAATCCGAGTTTTTACCACACAACCAAAAGCTCAGTGCACCTTTGAAATAAATTAAAAAATACAATATAAAGACTAATTTTTAGTACTTATACACAAATTTTTAATCCTTAATAACGTTTGCGTCATCTTTCGGTACTTCTTTCGACAGATCTGTTGGAACTGTCGTAGCGGTATTGCTGTTCACAGCTTTACTTGCGAGACTCGAAGTGTTGTTAACCGAATTTGTCGACGAAGTTGCGTTATCTCCCAATTTTGAGTCGTCTCCTTTGTCAGATTGAGACGTTGCAAGGTTACCACCTAGCGAATTTTTCAACTTTAGTATAAATAACTACTACATTACAAACATAACAATCTTAAATCCTTTACGATCACGGTTTCTTAGTATATTTTGACTCCACTTATTTTCATGAATTTTAAGAACACAAAAAGAGTCTGCACCGACTAAAAATGTATTTGGTAATGGGACGCCCTGTATATTCTACTAAAAACTATAAACAGTCAAAGACATTGAAAGCGTATTAATGAAATAAAATGGGGTCAAAATATATTGAGAAACCCTGTACACATATAGTGATAAATGATGATTGTCACATTGACAATGGTCACAGCAGAAATACTACCCACAACATACTGAGGTACGACTATGTTAAGAAGCATGATTAATAATTGACGTTATGAACACAATTACTATTTCAATTTGTTAAAACAAGAGGTGGTCTGACAAATGACATTGTTCGCCTTGCCCCTTCAATATCATTTAAATCGTCAACTTGAGATGAATGGTGTGTAGTTCAGAAATCACAAATATCTAAAGACGTTGAAAATAGATTAGTGACAGATTTATTTGAAAGGAAAATAGGGTTATAGACAGAGAACACATCAGCAAAAAAAATCATCTGACCAAATTGAAAAGGGCATTCAAATGCTGTACAAGAACTTTATCCAAATTCACTGCTAGCTGCAAGCACTTGTCGCAATTAAATTTTTAAAAATCGCCATTACAAATCTTACCTTTTACTACGTACTCGACATGAAAACTGCATCTATAGACTGTTATTCTAAACAAATGTATCGCTTACCTGAACAAACTACAATCTGAAAAGTCAGCATCACATTTCTTGCCAAGCAAAAAGTCTTTTAAATGCAATTCTTCAAGTTCTGTAGTTAATTCACCGTCAAATATAGAGCCCACCCAAAAAGAAAGTAAGGTAATTGAAGGTATTCATTTAAAGAATTAAGAATGTAAGATAGATGTTTAATTTTGCCATTGTTAAAATAATTATAAATATCAAATTAAAGACAATTATTAAAGATGCTTCTTCACCATGCATAAATTTATAACAGTTACCAGTAATTACTCAGAGTACGCCTATACTTTGTGCGAAACTTTGGAATAATGTTTACCTTGACCTCCATAATAATGTCGTGCGGCTAATTTATTATTTTGGTTTGCAGTGCGATGCTTGGGGTTGTTGGACGAACCACCATTATTGGGCATTCCACCCACGGCAGTGTGGAAATTTACCGGTCTCTGAATTGGTGACGGGTATCTCTGAGTCTGTAAAATAAACATTGTTACAAAGGAATTAATGTAAAAATGTTAAATATATATGCACAAATCTCCCGTTATTTCTACTTTCAACCGTCCCAGCAACGTTTATTTAATGTGGTCTCTTCAATCAATCATAATTTACATATTTTTACACAAACAAGTGTTTCAGCAAGTCTTTTTTCGTCCCGTTCTTCAAGTTGCTTACACGCCACTTCAAGAAACAAGACAGAATATATTTTTTATCTTGTACTATCACTGATCATGACGAGGAGATTTATGGAAGAATCTTTCCAGACAGACGGACAAGGCTGTTGCAGTATTTTGATGGAAGATTGGAATGCTGTAGTAGGCAAAGGAAACACAAAGTGGGCGGACAGTTTACAATCATCACCAACAGGGCCAGATTGACGGAGGGTATGGGGGGGGGCACACCCCTCCCTAACGCGTGACCATAGTCGGCAAAACTTCAGTTAGTCGGCACTCGGCAAATCGCTATTCAAATTAAATTAATTAAATATTGGAAAAAAATTGCGTAAAATACGCCGGTAAGCCGGAAAACCGTTTTGTAGCCGCCCCTTCCACGCAAAATGAAGAAATATTGGTTATTACTCTCATTGATATTACGAGGATGTAGATCCATTACCTTTCATGGTTAAAGGTCGCTTAAAAATGTTCCGCAAATTTTTCTAGCCGTTATGTTTGCATGGGTTTAAAAGTTGCGATAGGGATAGATGGTAGATAAGTATACAGGGTGGTCATTTTTAGCGCCTGACGATGGGATCTCTTATGTTGAAAACTAATGGTCAAATTGGGGTAAAGTTAAATTTAAAATGCGAATCAATCATTGAAACCACTTGTGGGATATCTCTTTTAGTTTCAATAATTAAAAAGAACTGAATTCTGCGTTTTAATAATTCTGTATTTAAAAAAAACGAGTATACCTATTTATTTATTTATTATACTTCAGAAATGGGCGGTTTAGACTATGACATTATTTTTTGAATTTGTTTTGAACGTAGGGGTCACATTGAATTTTTAGATTTTTTTAATAAAGAATTTACTATGGATTTCTATATTACATTTTAAATATAACACTTAATTATTCAATTGTCACGAGAGTGTCTTTTAGACAAAAATCGGTTTTGGATAGATTACTACTTTTAACTTAATAATAATATATAATAAAATCTTGCCAAAAGAACGCTTTACTACATTTAAAACGACATTTTTATTAATTATCTTGATTATAAATGTAAACTACCAAAGCAAATCAGCAAATGAGTTTGGCTGCAATTTCTAAAGCACTGTCGTGAAAATTGAATAATAAGGTATTTTGGTAAAATCAAAGTAGTAAATTAAAAGCTATGGCACGTCAGAGAAAAATAACTGATGAAAGTTCATAAGATGAAATTTAGCGACTCTAACGCAAAAAAGAAGTTCTATGCCATTCTGGCCATATTTATCAAATTCCTCTGTAAGTCTTCTAAACGTCCCACTTCGACTCGGTTTTCGTGCAAATAGAAATAAAATAGAATCCATATCCACGACAGCCGCGAAAAAAGAGCACTCTGTATAATGACAAATAATAATTATTATTATTACTTTGGTATTTATTATATAGTTTAATTAAAAATCATTTACGTTCCTCTATGGCGGATAATTGGCTAACTGCCTTATTGGTTCTAAGTAATCAGAAAAAGATATAGCAGACAGTATACATTTGGAAAAAATAGGGTCACAATGGGCACCCTTAAAATGCCGTCGTTTAATGTTGTACGGTGTATTATTTTGAATTTTTATTGTCGGCATTTTTTATTGCATACACCCCCCTCACTCGGAGCCTCTGACTACGGCCCTGATCACCAAAAAACCAGAGAGGGGAGTAGCTTTAGTGCATTTTCCATAGATTGATCAGTACTTTCCTAAAAGACCAGCATGTATAGTTACAATTTCAAAAAAATGTGTTGTCAGAACTAATAAACAAAGATATTATCCATATAAAGTCAGGAGAGATGAAGTGTGTTGTTGTTGACATGAAGGTGTTTCAATGCATAAAATGAATTTAACAAGAGGGTAGATTGGAGAGATAGAAACCTGTATATAAGACAGGAATTGGGGAGGATTGGGGAGAAGATGGTTTGCTATTGACATAGGAGTTAAGATAGGGAAGGTGTCATTCTCCAACTCTTTTAAATCTGACTTGAAAATGAATACTAAAAAGAGTAAAGTAACGAGTATAGGTGAAGAAGATAGTTTACGTACAAGAAACTGAAGCAGGTGGACTAATACAAATACCTAGGGGTAAACTGGAGAAGCTGTGAAAGTTGCTTGAAAGCTCCACTCATATAATACGAGAACGAAAAATAACTTTTCTATAATGAGATCAAAAAGTAAGGTGCATAACTCGTCCTACCTACAGATGGGGGGGTGAGATTTTATAATGTCCTTCCGGCACATGTCAAATGTATTACAATGTTGGGTCCTTTTAAAAACCAAATTAGAAAAATTCTTCAATCAATGGTGCTATACAGACTGGATGATTTCTTTACGAATATCAAAAAATACTAGTCATATTAAAAAAATAAATAAATAAATTTTAATATATATACACCTATTTACATTTCTTTTTTATAGATATATTTATATTATTTATTGTACTTTATTGTGTATTTTATTTATGTTGTTATTGTGTGACAGTTACACCACATTCATGATTGAAATAAATGCTCTCTCTCTCTCTCTCAAAGCAAGCTGAGACAGGTCGAGAAGTGAGAAAATACTGGAAAGAGTTGAGAGAAAGTAGATCAATGATGAACACCACAAGAGAGAAATTGGGTGGGTTTGTTGTTTATTTTTTATTATTCAATTGTTTTAATTTGTGTTTAGCAGTCTCAAATTGTTTCTTTATTTCGATCCCCTAATTCTAACCACTCTCAGGTCATGTTTCCTTCACTTACTTGCATATGGGGAAAGCTTTCTTGTTAATGGATTTACTAATTCACCATTGTTAACAATTAATCACAACTAAATAAATGTCTGATGGTAATCATGGCAAATAATTGTAGGCATCAGATAAATCAAAAGAATCTTATTCAACCCACAGAACACAGCAATTTCAAATTACCTGTGAAGGAGGTGGATTTCCAACAGCTTGATATAAATATTTATGCTGGGTTGTGGGACTGGCCTGTGGTGCGGGTTGCTTGATATTCTGGCGCGATTTGGGAGAAGGGATTTGTGCACCTAAGGAACGACAATTAAGCAACAATTTTCAATAGAAGACACTTACCAGAATTAAATACAGAGGAAAGAACATCCTGTTGGCTTCCGGGACTTTTAATTTGTTGTGGTCGAGAATTCTGCTCCATGTGATTATTGACGCTTTTCACGTACGCCGAATTCTGAAGGCCCGTAGATCGATACTGCTGAGCGTTTAGGGCGGCCGCCGCGGCTAACTGTATTGGTGACGAAAGAAAATGAGAACTGTAGTTCTGTAAACTGGCGCTGGTATGCGATTGGTTTGGATTACCGAAGACGTTTCCTTGCAAACCATACCCGGCTTGATGCTGTTGTAAGGGGGCCGATTGAAGCGTGGAACTTCCAGGTTGTTGGTAGTAACCAGTTTGGCCACCTAAAATTTTAAAAAGCCATAAATTGCATTCTCAACAACGATTAAAAAAAAATTAAAAGTGCCACCCTACATGCAATAAAACAAATGAAAACTGAATCAAGTTTATTTCATCATACTTTACAAGATGCGCCACAATGACATCACAAATACTGAATGCGGGTATACAGAAAATATATAAACTACGTCTCTAATCTAACTTTAAATTAAAGATTACAATAGTTCTACATTAATGCTACGATAATGCATGCAATAATCTATTGAAAATGTACAAATGAGAAGAAACGAAAATACAAATTGCACTAAAAAGCTACACATAAATAATCTTGCAAACGTTCATAATTACATTTTGATTTTCACGATGCCGCTACTATTGCTACTTATTGCCGAAACAAAAATTGTTTAGCCTAATATACGAGAGCTACTTTTACTTAAAAACGGAAGCACATAAAAGTGATATGAGATTCGGTCTCCCCCTTTATAAAACCCGATTGAAACAAAGTCTCCCAAAAACATAAGGTATGGCACATACAAATCTACAAAGATGACCCCCTTATGAAAAAAAAAGCAAGAAAATACAGTCGCCAGTTTTAGTTAGTCTGGTTTTTTTTTTTATATTAAAAGAGAAATCTATAGTTCTGCCAAACACCAAGAAAGAAAGAAAATCGTACAATATTAATGTAATTTATGGTAACAAAGCCTGAGACCCACAAGCAAGTTAGTTCATATACCTCCACGGTGATGATTTATAAGCTTTGCCTGTACCTGTTGATCCGGTATAAAATGAAGACGAGGGTTGAATCGTGGGCACTACGTTATTTTGAATAGGAGCGGTAGGTCCCCTTTGAATAACACCCGCACTTTGCAGATAATTGGCTTGAATTGGCGCATCGTACGTCATGTACAGTTGCTGGCCTTGCTGCGATTGCTGATATGCTTGACCACCTCCGCTTGCTTTTGTACCTGTAAGTAAAGACATCATTCAGAATATGGTTTGCGACTGGAAACAAAACGGAAAAATTGTTTTAGGTTGTTCTATATACAAAATCTATTTCAAAATGAAAGTGACTAAATTTGTTGAAATAAGGGCGTGGTTAGGTAGGGACGAATATCCACTTAGTCCAGTCAAATTAGCGCAATTTTGGACAAATAAAAACATTAATCGGTAAAGATCTGAATTTTGGTATACACATTTATTGGGACTTTCTATTGAACATACTAAAAGTCCCTGTCAAAATCTGTTGCGCTCGAGACGCCATCTTGGAAAAACGGTTCACTTTTCCAGTTTTTTGCCCATGTCTCGGCAACTATTACTGATACGAAGAAATAGTTTGAATGAAAAATATAGTTTACTAAATTCCTTATAAAAAAGAGTATTTACATTTTTTTTGTATCTTCAATACTTTAGCTGTAATCTCACGTTGAATATGTCAGAACGCGTTTAGGCCCCGTATCGTAGTTATAGGAAGGGGGCCGTCTTTTTTATAACTACAGCGAAAGCTGTAAAAGCACCAAAAAATGAACAGAATCGTCTTGTGATAAAGCATTCTAGCAATGACATAATGTTTGATGATACGACATTATGTTTTTTTTCGAAAAGGTAAGCGAAAATGTTTAAAATTGTTGGGGAGCAACGAAATGATTTCTGAAGCTGGAGAACGCCCTTATCTGCATATAACGTGCCTGCTAGTAAGAGATATTTAAACCAACATCGTTATCAGACCTTCAGAAAATGCGTGTACAAGGGTCAGCCGAATCTACCACTGATACCCCCTACAGCTGCAGCGGCGCTATAACACACGTTTCGTATTAATCAGCAAGTTCAGAAATTGCGTGGATATGAAAAATCTCCCGAACTGTGGAGTTGAAGGAGAGTCCACGATTTCCTTGACCCTGTTCGGACACTGAAGGCTCCCAGTCCACACTCAGTGCTCAACTGCTCACATTGAAGATGAAACTTCTATTGAGAGAGAGAGTTTCATGAGAAACCTTTAAACATGTCTCATACCAAGCTTGAGTGCGACGACTTCGCATATACAGGGTGGGGCCTAGCGCAACGCAGCATAGGAATTTCAATGGTAATTTCTTTAAAGTCAATTACTAGCTCCCCAGATTATTTTAGAGCAAAAGTCTAAATACATTTATTTTAGAGAAAAAAATACTGCATCTGTTCATACTATTAGTTATAATTTCCCATTTTTCAAAACCGTGGAAATCGACAAAATAAAAAATTACATTTTTATAAATCAGTGATGCTTTGGAATCGTTTAACAAACTACAAGCGCATCGCGTCTGTTATGGTTGTTTGACGTCGAACGATTTTCATATTTAATTCTGTTCCAACTGACCGACACCGACGTAAGAAAACGCGTCTATGGGGTAATGTTTTTTTAGAGAATGTAATGCTGCATCTGCAATACTATTTGTTTATCATTTCCGGAACCAGAGTAACTAAATTGAAGAAAAAAAAATTGATTTGAAGAAGAATTGTTCTTAAACTTATATTCGGATTTTCCGCTATTGCAGCCAAAACATTGAATGTATTGTCGTTTTCCTGATGGATTTGACGGACATTTTGAACGTTATTGCACTTGCAGTTCTTTAACTAATTTATAAACAAGTATAAATTTAATATACGTCAAAGACAAATTATGAAACGTGATCGCTATTTTTTTAGGTAATTCCAAGGCATATCTGATTTATTGTAAAATGAACCTTTTTTATTTTGTCGATTTCTACGGTTTTGAAAAACGGAAAATTATAATTAATGGTATGAACAGATGCAGTATTTTTTGCTCTAAAATAATTTGGGGAGCTAGTAATTGACTATAAAGAAATTACCATTGAAATCCCTATGCTGCGTCGCGCTAGGCACCACCCGGTATAAGAAATACTGGCAGAATTTTCAATAAATTTAATGATTTGTAAAAAGCTGTAAAAAAATATCTGCGCGACTGTTTCGAGAGCTCAGGATACTTGATTCCCTATTCGATGTCGGATTATAGCTAAAGTATTGGACATACAAAAAAATGTTAAAATGCTTTTTTATGGGCAATTTAATAAACTATATTTTTTATCTGAGCTATTTTTCCGTTTCAATAATTGTTGCCGATATATAGGCAAGAAACTGAAGAAGTGCTTCTTTTTTCCAAGATGGCGCCTCGAGCGCAACAGATTTTGACGGGGACTTTTAGTATGTCCAATGGGGAACACTAATGAACATGTGTACCAAAATTCAGATCTTTACCGATTAATGTTTTTATTTTTTCTTATTTCACTGGACTAACTATGTTTAAAGGTAAATTTTTAACACAACCCTAAAGATTTCAAAAATATTTTCAAATAAGAGCTTGCAATTTAAAAAAAAGTTTAAGTAGAATCCACTGGCGCATTAAAAATGAATTTTTGGAACACCGTTTGTGAGATTTGACCCAAAGTTGGCATTTATTAAATGCAACACGCTCATGGTATAATAAAAACGGTATCGCAACGCGCATCGTGTCCCTTTTCCTCACGCCGTATGACGTCAATCACGTTACAAACTCCGGCGCGCGTATACAAATGCATAGGGAAGAGGTTACGGAAACGCACTATTATTTGTGTATCTGTCGGCGAAATTTAGGTTTATTTGAGTATATAATATTACATACACAAATGCAAGCTCGCACAAAAACATTACAATGAAATGCAAAGCAGATGAAATGTAAGTAGAGGTATTGTTCAAATGGTGCGTCTAGCGCGTGTACGTGAATGGAAAACGAAGATCATGTACCTCTATTTTTGTAATCAATCAAAATGTATTTAATAATTTGATATACTCACGTATATCTAAATGATCGAAGCAATAAAAGTATTTCCGCATACTGTAAACATCCTAGTTCACTTACATCGTATTAATCAGATTAATTATATTAAACAAATTGCTTTCAGCTTATTTTTTTAATTTAAACATGTAATTTTGTACAAAGCTTATTCTTTTATTCTAAGAACGTTCTTTTTTGACTCGGCTACAGCGTCTCCTCTTATGATAACGGATGCTCCAATTTTGTTTAGTCTACAAATTTTTTCGCATACGTATATTCACTTCCGAAGTATTTAACATCTTAACCCTTCGTTTTTCGTGAATAATTATTACATTTTGCACTCGCGCAACCAGGCATTATCGTTTAAATGTTTATTCGGTATCCTCGCGGTGTAATAAAAGCGGAAATAAAAGGTATTCGCTATTAATAGAAGCAAAAACTCGAGTGTTTGCAATGCAGGACTATCAACTACACATATTCCTGTACGTACGATAAATATAATATGCACCACAATGCAGATTATACGTCGAAAACGAGGCCCACCATTGAAGCTTTATGGGATCACGTGACAGATGTAACTAGAGTGACGTCATGCGCGGGCACGACGTGTTTTCGTCCGACAACTGGGCACCCGATGAACACGCTGTATATCCTAACGTCAATTTTTTTGCATCCTTTTCCCTGGTTACATTCATGCATCACAACCTATAATTTTGTTTAATTTTAACCATGAACCAAATATAAATTTTTTTACGATTTTTAAATAGTAGGCCATGGATAATGGCATTTTGTTTTTTTTATTGTATTCACGGCAGCAGATATCAATCGATAAAAATGGCTGATAATAGAAAAATGCAGGTTGAGATTCATTAATAGAATCAAGAAAATGAATGCAAACAACTGACGTGAAAATATACAGGACTTGTATTTAAAAATACCAACATTGGGTCAAATCTCAGAAACATTGATCCAAAAATTTTTTTAACAATGCCATAGATTCTACGTAAAAATATCTAAAGGGTACAGTTTTTACCTTTGATCTATCTTACATGGGTAGTAAGATATGATAGCATCCCAAAAAGTAAAACTTTTCATTTTCACCCTGTATCTTAGAAACAAACGTAGTTAGATTGTAAAAATAAATTACTTGCATATAGCTTATGCTATGTTAAATATAAGAACCTTTACCACTGGCAAGCAATTTACCATAATCTTTCAACAATAATTTGAATTAATTATAATCGATTGCATTTTGCTATGTCTTGCTTACTAAGAAAATTTTTGTCGGATTTAATAAATAAAGTAGTCCTCCCTAGGTACAGAACAACATTAAGCTAATTTTTACCATTTGTTTTCCCCCTTCATATAACTTTTTTTATGTTATCAATTCCTTCTGTGATACTTGGACTTTCCAAAATTACTTACCAATTGCGCTAATTTGTTGTGTACTAGGTTTAACGGTGGCCGACATTAGCGTGTTTGAAGTGGACGATATGAGAACAGTTGTCGGATTATTCATCTGTTGACTCTGACCGAAATGTCCCGAGGCGGGTAATCTGTAGTTATTTAAATTTTGATAAATATCTGGGGGAGCCTGGGCGGCCGAGGGGTGAGGTTGGGCGCCTTGTAAATACATCGATTGGGCTGAGTAAGGACTCGATGCCGTCTGGCTGAGGTTGTAGGGATTTGGGTACGGCGAATATTGCGATCGCCCCTGACCACCTAATACTTGAGACTGATCAATTTGGAAAGTGCCATACAGTCCTGTGGGAGCGGCTTGAATTTGTTGGGTAGAATTGAATAGGACGGTTGGCGGTGACGGAATTGCAGACATTCCATACTGGGTACTGCCTCCGAGGTTGGGCTACGGACAAAAATGTCACTTTGAAGTACTACCACAGCTACAAATACCTGATAGCCGAGGTGTTGATTTGAGGTATAGGGTTGAGGGGGTTGACCTAATCCTACACCTGCACCCAGCACAGCCTGCATAGGTGGAGGAGACAAAGTGTGTCCCACAATGCTTGGACCAATAGCAGAGTGTTGCTGATGAGAACTTGCAGAATGGACCGGTTGTTGGCCACTAGTTCCTGTTACCTGCTGAGTAGGCTTCACCTTTAACAACAAATGATCAATTCGCACACGCCGCAACTCTAAAACATCGTACCTTGCACACGTTTGTAGTATTATTAGTAGTGGGTTGGTTTGACGATGAGTTGTACACTTCATGGCCATCATCTGTACCATCTCCGCTCTTGCCAAAGCCCGAAGGATCTAAGGAATTCGGATCCGGTCCGAACGAAGTTGAGAACGACGAATTTGAATCATCTTGCCCAACTGAATGTTCAATAACTGTCGGCGTAGTCTCCCATACTTTTTTGACCGACGCAATCTTAAAATTCAAGGCATCTGCAGTCGAGGCAGATATCGTATTGTTAGCACTAGTCATGTGCATCGACCTTGGTAGTCCCATGTTTTTACCATTCTTGTCTTCGGTCAAATGCGACAATTCCGACTCAAAAAAATCTAATTTCATATCGGCGCTATCTTCTTTCCCGAAACTTAGTTGCATTTGCATGGAATCCGATGGTTTCTCATTTTTGTTTAATAAATCTCGCATGGGTTTATTAAAAGTGGAAATCACCGCCTGTTCGATTCCTGCATCGTCTAATTTGGGACAAGATTTATCAGTACGCCCTGATCGAGCACCCGGTGCCGATTTGAAGTTTGTATTCTCAAATATGATTGTGTTAACAGGAGGTGTCGTTCCGTCCAAAACGGTTTTTTCACTTACATGTGTTGATTTCATCACCTATAAAAGCGGATAATTATCATTTACAACATATATGACATACAATTGAAGATGTACAGGGTGGCCAACTAAGAATGCGAGGTACTGTATCTGGGAACCTGTCCATCGTAGAGCCTTGCGGAAAAAAAAATTTATTACTAAAACAGCCACGAGAAAAACCTGGAAAATATTTGTAAGTTTCTGCAATGGCCGCTAGGGGGCGTAACTGCAATCTGGAATCTAAAAAAGTGATGTTTCTATGAATTCCGCTATATTAACCTAACAAAAAAATGTCCGGTCTTTGAAGTTGACAATAATCTCAACCTTTTTTGTTTGGAAATTTTTCTTATATCTCTAAAAATGAAGTGGTGGGGGGTATTCAAAGGTTTCCGTAAAGAACACCCTGTATCTTTGAAATGACTGAGCCGATTTAAACAAACTCGAGTTAGTTCAAAAGATCTATTCTTCAGCTACAAATATTATACCAAGGTAGATTCATAACGGTGGCGGCACTCTGATCGTTTTATATAGGAAGCGCGTTTACCAAATCTGACCTCGCATGCTTATTGCCTACCTTCCAGTCGTAGGGTGGTTTTACTATGGAGTCTTATGGGAGATACTACGTTTTTTGTGTATATAATCATTATTTAAAGATTTCTGATGTTGTACCTTATACAATGTGTTAGTGTACCCATGGATTATGATTTTACCTTACGGCAGCAACTTCATTTTGTTTCTCCAGTACAAAAAAAATGTTCAAAGTTTTTCCGCCTGCATGTAGGCAACAAAGCGTTCAGATGGGTGCAAGATTGTCATTGAAATAAAATAACAGCTATGCCGCTCAAATTTATTTATACAATTTTAAATTTCTTTATCGAATCTTTAATTTTTTTTCTTTTATCCGCATCCTCTAGTCTGCGTTTGTTATATTGTTTGCATGTAAAAATCATGCGAGTTGTTAGATAAAACCGTAAAAGGTCTTTCGTCAATTTCCTTTTGTGTAGTTCACAGCCCACTGGTTTGTAGTTATTAAGTTTGGCATTTTTAATAACTGCAAAAGTAAAATATAATTTAAAAAAGTTAATATCGTGCAAGCAACATGCAATAGTATATTAAGTAACAAGGGATTAAAAAGAGTTATTGTTTTCGAAAGAATAGTAGTAATATTCTTGAGGGGCCAAAAACTAGTTTGATCCAGTGTTACTTATACTATTTTTTCCAACACCGACCGTTCTAAATTCATTTCGAAATGAGTATGATTTATATTATAAAAAAAACTATCAAAAAGTAAGGTAGGCTATTTAACAATATTATGTCATGATCACAAGGGATAAAATTTTTCTTGATTCCTAAAATAAGTTAGGTGTCTATTACCTAACCACTTAACGAATAATAAAAACGTTAAAGCTTAGCGCCGTACTTAGCAGTTTGAAATAGGTAGTGTGCAAAAAATCGTGCGTTAGGATGCGGCGTCGGCAGAATTTGGAAACGCTGATTCATTCCATTTTATAACATTGGTTTTGCAAACTAATGTAAAACCTAATTTGCAATTTTTTTTAAATCAACGAATTTTATGTTAGAACTAAATAAGTTAAAAGAAAACTTGCAAGCTCTTAGTTAGCATTAAATTATGAAAATGCCTCTTCGTCTGGAACCGCAAGACTATGGTCTACTGTGAAACAGCTCATAACCAAATATTCTTTTATTTAATATTAGAATGATTGCCATAAGAATAGAAGATATACCGCAGATTATGTCACGGTAATGTCTTTATGACGTTGAGCGAGAATTAGTACCTAACTCAAAGCCACGGTGAATAGACTCAAAGCTTATGATTATACGATTGCTGGGTTTCTCCAACAAAACTTAAGTAAGGCTTAAGTTATAGCGCCGTGTTATTTGGTCGTGCTTGGTCGAAATGAATCAATTGCTTAGTAACGTTGAACTTAAGTCGAAGTGAAGTAAGAAATAATGTTGGAGAAACCGACCATAAAAACTTGAAATAATGTGTACGTTGAGTTGCCTTTAATCAGGCGGAAAAATTTAAGGTACTGATTCTGTTGTTCATAATACAAACGTAGTCCTTTTCGTATATTCAAATGACAATAGATAGGTATAACAACACGCTATATTGATTTCAACTTCAAAAGTATCGAAATAATGATAATATTGGCAAAAACCGCCTAATCTCCCATATAACTCCATAGTAAAACCAGCCTACGACTGAAAGGTAGGCAATAAGCATACGCGGTCAGATTTGGACAGCGCTGTAGGCCGGAGTGCCGCCACCGTTATGAATCCACCTTGGTTCAGTATATTAATGATATCTACCGGCTGACCCAATAAGACTGTTCCTCGGCCATATCTCGAGAACCAGTCGTCATATGACTTAGGGGTAAAAAAAATTATTGGGTAAATCGGTCATGAAGAATCGCTGGAAAATATTTTTAAGTTCTAAAAATGACCAACAGAGGGCGTAACTGCCATCTTAAATTTTAGAATTGCATTTTATTTAAATTTCGCATAATAAACTAAATATTCTTTTTTGACATTTTTAAAGCGAACCAGTTTATCATTTTCGTAAAAACAAACACTCAGTTGGTGTGGTGTGGAGCGTTCAATTGTTTTTGCAATAACCTGCTTTAACTTCGTAACCGTTTGACCGATTTTAACAAATTTGGTATGGTTGAAAAGAGCATTCCTTGGGCAATTAGAATCAACCAAAATTTAGTTGAATCCTTCTCCGCCAGGGGGCTAGTTTTGACACTATAACCCAAAATCCTAAAAAAATCAAAAAAATGAAATAGAAAGATTTGACGCTTTCTTTATGAAAAAGTAGCCAAATAACATTCAAAGAGGCCGGTGAAAACCGTTTTTCAAAATCTCGTTCCTAACCTCAAATATTGGGAAAATGAGATTAATTAATTAATTAATAAAAATTTTTTTTTTTTTTTTTTTTTTTAAAGGAAAAAATTTTTTAATAAAAATAATAGAACAAGAACAATTACATATAAGAACGAGGTTTTAAAAAAAATTTAAAATGTCAGATACTGACAGTGTTTTTTCTTCTGAAGAAAAAGTTCGATTTACAAGTAAATATACAAGAAAATATACATATCCGTCTACTACATCCTCAATTAAGAACTTCAATATCTGTTCACAAGATTTGCTTGATGCTGGGCCTTCTAAAAACAATTATTTGGACAAAGAAGACAATATTTTGTTTGACACCAGTGCTTGTCAAAGTTATAAATGTAATGAATGTGACAGAATTTTTCAATCGCAAAGAGGATTCAATATTCATTTAGGAAAAAGTCATCCAGAAATTAATTCAGAGCCACACGAAAATCCCGACGTCAATTTACAACAAACATCAGATCAGATTTATGACTCTGATGTTGGATTTCGCTGCTCACAATGCAATCATTTGTGCATGACGAAACATGGTTTGAAAAGACACTTTAACTCAGTTAAATGTAAGAAGCTTCTTCTGACAAAAAAAAATCAGACGGTTCAAAATGATAGGACAACTCCAGATGTCATTAATCACGATAATCTGCTTTCTACTTTGCAGACACTAAAACATTCATTTACACTGATAAAAAGGATTCCACGGTCTCTCTGTGAACTTATTGCTGATTCTTTGTCCGACACTATCAATAATTGCATTGATAAAAACTCTTTTGAAAGTTGGAAGCAACTGTCTTTGTTTGCATATAAGGTTTTCAAATTACCTGGATCAAAAAAAAACTGACCGAAAAACTTCTCTTACTACTGTGATTAAACGAAACCTCAAGAATCTTTCTAATTTAAGTGATACATCAGATCTTTTTGGAGAGGGTAAATCTGCAAACAGAGTTTTTGGACACGGCGATAATCTTTTAGGTCGTCGGGTTACTTCGAAAATTGAAGCTGGAAATATTAGCGGAGCTGTACGTATTCTATGTTCAGATGACTCTATCGCTGCTTACTCTGAGGATTCCCTTCGAATGCTGGAAATGAAACATCCACTGTCTCCCCCTGATATTGATCTCTTGCCTATTCCAGATGATTTGCCACCATTTCCGGAAATTACTTTGAAAGAATTGTTATCTGCTGTAGCAAGTTTTCCTCACGATTCCGCTGGAAGTATTGATGGTTTTCGACCACAACATTTTAAAGATTTGCTTGGAAAGTCATTGGATCTTCAACATCCGTCATATCAGCTTGGATTATCACTAACACGACTTGTGAATTTGATAGTACGAGGGGAAATACCTGAATTCTTCCGTCATATTTTCTTTGGAGCTTCACTGATAGCTCTGAATAAAAAGGATGGAGGAGTACGGCCTATTGCCGTTGGAATGACTCTACGGCGTTTAGTTGCGAAAATCATCTGTTCCCGTGTACATCAGAGAGCTGGAGAGTTTTGTAGACCTTACCAATTGGGTTTTGGAACTAAGGGAGGTGCAGAAGCAGTTGTTCATGGTGCTAGAAGATTCATTGAAGTTAATTCTGACTCTTGCAAGGTTTTACTGAAATTGGATTTTACTAATGCCTTTAATATGGTTCGTCGTGACAAAGTTCTTTCTGCTTGGATGAACCTTTTCCCAGCATACTACAAATTTATACATCAAGCCTATGGATTTCCATCTTCGTTATCATACGGCAAGAATGTCATTTTATCAGCTTGTGGAGTACAACAAGGTGACCCGTTAGGACCTTTGTTATTTTGTCTAATGTGCTTGGATAAACTGAAAACCTGAAATCTCCTTTTAAAGTTGGCTACCTTGACGATTGGACTTTAGGTGGTGAATTTGACACAGTTTTAGATGATCTCTAATCCATCAAAAATTCAACTATTGAATTAGGACTGCATCTAAATGTAGCAAAATGTGAAGCTTTTTGTACAGGCGGATCCGAAGAACAGAAACAGGAGGTTTTTTCTCGTATCCTTCGTGCAGCTCCAGGTATTCAGTTTCCAGATCTGAAATCCTTTATGTTATTGGGATCTCCTCTGAATACATCCTCTATAAAGACTTGTCTTATGGCCAAATTAGAAAATTTCAAAATTTTGTCGACTCGTTTAAAATTAATATCAGCTCATCATGGACTATTTTTACTCAAGAATTGTCTAGCTGTACCAAAGCTGTTGTACGTTTTACGTACATCTCCTGCATTCCTTGTTACTGACTGCCTAGCTGCTCTTGATAATGAATTTATAAAAGCTATTGGATCTGTTTGTAATATTGAAATGACTGATACAGTATCGTTACAGTCCAGTCTGCCTGTTAATAATAGTGGTTTGGGAGTCAGAAGTACGGAAAGATTAGCTCTTCCAGCCTATTTGGCTTCGATCTTTTACGTGCTTCCTGTCGTTTCTCAGATTATTGATTTCAATGATGCAGAATGGATTTCTGATACAATTAACCAATGGAAGATACTTGCTGAATCTCAAGAACCTGTTGAAGAAATTCGTCACATCCAAAAATTTTGGGACACTCCTTTGGTTGAAAAGTTATTCGATCAATTGTTCAATAAATTCGTGAATGATCCAGTACACCAAGCAAGGCTGTTAGCACTGAAAGAAAAAGAGTCAGGCGCTTGGTTACAAGCTCTTCCTGCAAGGCAAATCTCCACACATCTTGAAGATTCTGTTTTGCAGATAAGTGTTGCTTTACGCTTAGGTGCTACAGTTTGTACTCCTCATATTTGTAAATGTGGTGCCAATGTGGATAAGTTTGGGCATCATGGTTTATCTTGTCAGAAGAACACAGGAAAGTACAGTCGCCATCGAAACATCTTAGAATGTCAGAAAAGAGCATTCCATGAGGCTGGTTATTCAGTCATCTTAGAACCTCCTCATCTTTTTGGAATTGATAAAAAACGACCCGATGGGAGAACTTTAACACCTTGGATGGAAGGAAGATGTCTGGCATGGGACTTTACTTGTGTTGATACCTTATGTCCTTCATATCTCTTCTCCTCGGTGAAGAAAGCAGGTTCTGCAGCCGCTTTAGCTGAACGCAGAAAGAAAAATACTTACGCTGCTTTAGAACCTACATTTATTTTTAACGGATTCGCTGTAGAAACCATGGGTCCGTGGGGAAATGAAGCCAAAATGATGACAGCGGCAATTGGTAAAAGACTCAGGCAAAAAACAGGAGAGTCCCGCTCAACCCAGTTTATTTACCAACGGATAGGTATAGAAATTCAAAAAGGCAACGCCGAATGTGTTTTAGGAACTTTACCTTTTTTTAGTAATTCTTTTCATGAAATTTATTAATAAAAATGCTTAACTTGTATCTTAAATTTACTTTTTACCTATTTCTGTATTTGTCGATGGCGCAAAAGAAAAGCAGCCTACACTTTTAAGTAGGCCTTGGAAAATTTAACAAATGAAACACGATGCATTATAAAATAATAACAGCCGCAATTTGTAAATTATTCTGCTGTGTTTACATTCAGAAAGTGCAGTTTTTTGAATTTGTAATCTTTTCTGAAATGCCGATTTCTAACCAAGAAGCATTTAATATGCTGGCGATATATTTGGAGTATTTTCAAAATGCGACCATCGCTGCCCGCCTCTTCTATTTGCGTTATCCGAATCGACCACGAACCATCGCCGCCAGCATATGCTTCTTGGTTAGAAATCGGCATTTTAGAAAAGATTACAAATTCAAAAAACTGCACTTCCTGAATGTAAACACAGCAGAATAATTTACAAATTGCGGCTGTTATTATTTTATAATGCATCATGTTTCATTTGTTTAATTTTTCAAGACCTACCTAAAAGTGTAGGGTCCTTTTCCAAACAATCTTTCGCACCATCGACAAATACCGGAAATACGTCAAATAAGATACAATTTAAGCATTTTTATTAATTTATTAATTTATCTCATTTTCCCAATATTTGAGGTTAGGAACGATATTTTGAAAAACGGTTTTCACTGGACACTTTGGGTGTTATTTGGCTTTTCATAAACAAAAAGTCATATCATTCCATTTGATTTTTTTGTTTTTTTTAGGATTTTGGATCATAGTGTCAAAACTAGCCCCCTGGCGGAGAAGGTTTCAACTAAATTAACTATATTTTCGATTCTTGTTGCCCAAGGAATGCTCTTTTCAACGATACCAAATTTGTTACAATCGGTCAAACGGTTAAGAAGTTAAAGCAGGTTATTGCACAAACAATTGAACGCCCCACAGCATCTTTGGTTTTGAAATAACTGAGTTTTTGTTTTTACGAAAATGATAAATAAACTGGTTCTCTTTAAAGATGTGAAAAAAGAATGTTTAGTTTATTTCGAGGTTTATTTTGCGAAATTTAACGAAAATGCAATTTTAAAATTTAAAATGGCACTTACACCCTCTGGTGGTCATTTTTAGAACTTGAAAATATTTTCCAGCGATTCTTCATAACCGATTTACCCAATAATTTTTTTTACCCCCAAGTCATACGACGAACGGTTCCCGAGATATGGCCGAGGAACAGTCTTATTGAGTCACCCGGTAAATATAACCCAAAGAAAAGAAAAACGCAACTCAAAGATGCACAAACAAAGGAAAACTTAATACTTACAATGAAGTTATTGCTTTGGAATCAATTTTGAAAGCTGCTATGAACAGTTCTTGAAATATCTGCTGTGGTTCATCAGAATTTGCTAAACGTGCTACAATTTCTTCTACCCACGCTTGTAACCATTGCTCATAAGATTGAACTTCCTTCCAATGTATTTTCATTAACCTTTCATAACTAGTCACTACCTATAAATTATAACGCTTAACACTGTCATTTTAAAAAAGAAAAGATGTGTTCACATAAGCCATGTGTAAATTAGCAACAGTGCAGCAACGTTTAGTTGAATTTACTGAAATATTGTTATAATGAATAGTTAAATAATATAAAGGTACTTACATTTGCTGCTTTTCCGGAACATATAACATCATCAAGCATCTGCACAGGTAGGTTACTATGTTGTTGCAGCACAACGCTGCAACCAACTTCGGAACATAAAACCATAATAATGGCATAAAAATTAGAGCACTCCCCAAGATCGTTCACCCATTTGAATAGTGTATTAAAATAATCTGAGCATCCTACAATGATAAATAATATTAAAGAGCGCTAATTTACAATGCAATTACCTTGAGCTTTAGCTTTGAGAGTAACTTTTATCAGAGATTTGAACATTGCTTGAGTATTATTTTTGACAACATCAGGAACATCATCAATGTAAACGTTTATGTAATCTAAACACTGTCTGTAGATATTGGATAGTTCATCAACTTCTAAGTAAGAAAGATGTGAAGAAAGCGTGGTGATTGCTTTAGAAATGCCCATCATTCGGGAGATATTCGTTTTAATACCAGAACTAGAATTTATGAATGATGATTTCATAATTCACGTTTATAAGAGAGTACAATATAGTCATAAGTTATTACACGGCGCACTTTCCCTAGTTTCGCCCAACCCCTGTTTTGTTCCAAGATTTTCCACAAAGAACAAACAACTTTTACACTCGATGTTACGTAAAAAGCTTTCTCGCGCAGATGTTTTATTTAATTGCACTATGCTTGAACAACTGACCATCTCCATCAACGAAAATGACGAGAAATTCAAAATACATTTGTTTAATGTAGATATTTCTCTGGAATTTTTTTAAATACTTTTCTGGAAACGCATTTGCACATGAATATTCAAAAAAAAACCATAAACACCTCTATTTAAGAAAATATTAATATTTATGTTACCTACCACTTTATAACAGGTGGTCACTTTGCCGTTTCTGAAATTTGGTTTTGCATTTGTATTTTGTTAAACATAGAGAAATTTACGCATATACCAGTTCATAGCGAACGTGAACAAAAGTATGTCTGGCGATAACAACAATCTGTAGGCTCCATCTACATTCAACACACCCCCTTAAGAAAGACCTAAATCAACCCAGTTAAAATAGGTACTTTACTAACACTGTACACAATGTTTTCATTTGAACTTGAACTGAATACTTTTATGATCTTAGTTACAGATTAGTAGGTATGGCTGGTTTATAATGAAATATGAATTTGTCCCTTTGCAAGAGCCTTGACCAATCATTCAAAAAAATGATATTACCTTGTAGCTGAACGAATCAACTTTTGTAACATGAAGCACAATATGATTTCATGTCCAATTCTACCTTTGTATAATACGTCAGATGGAGCAACAATAGAAATTCCTATATACAGACACACATTTAAGAGCTCCTTCATTGAGGCGTCACCTACAGCTCTCATTCCCAGATGACGAAAAAAGTCTGAGCTTCCAGTCTCTTTTAACAGTTCAAGATAAGGATGCTCTTTAAACCACTGCAATAGAATTAATTACTTACAATACAAGAATTAAAATAAACTACTTACACCACCATCAGGAAACATTTCAGGTGTTGTACTGCATAACATCACCATCATGTGACCACTGTTACATTTCACATCATATGCCACATTTATATGAAGAATTAGTTCATACAAACTTTTGATTAAACTTATTTTATCATTCAGACTAATGTTTGAGGTGTTATAATTTTGTGAAAGACACAGAAGAAATTTTGTGGTATTATACAGGTAAGTGTGTAACAACTGCGAACTTAAAATATCCTTAGAGCGTTCCCTGTGAAAGTATTCAGTCCGCTTAGAAAATGAAGTATACATTTTAGGCTACATACCACAAGTTCTCCACTAATTCATTCAGAAACGTACAAGAGCGACTAAATAATTCATGCACATTTTCCAAAATTGCAATTCTAGCAGCTAATATGTCAAAACTTGTATATAATGAGTTGATAAAATGATCCGTATCTTCCCGTTCTACATCCTCGTTCTTTATGTGTACTTGTATCATACACTTCATAGACCTAGAGAATTCTTCACATAATTCGTGATTATCTTCATAAGGTAGCAAAATACGTGTTACTGACTTTTTAATGGGATGCTTTGCAGTGCAAGATAAATACATATGAGCAAGCAATTTTCTTGCTTTACTTTTCTCTTCATTTTCCAGTGCAGATTTTAAGTACTCTGAAAGCTAAAAGACAACAATATAAATATAAGATAAGTGCTAAGATAAATTTGTGGAATGAAACTGTGCATAGTATTCATAGCAGTTCAATAACTTATGGCTTTTAAATGATGACTTACTCTTTTGACGGATTCCTGCTGAAGACAACACTCAGTAGTTTCACTACATTTTTCAATGATATATCGAAAATGTTCATTGGAATTGTTAGATCTACACTCAGAAATACATGAGCAAGATCTTCGAAAAACAGGACCCACAATCTTCCTAGGTTTCATAATTGACACATGCAATGCAACGGAATTTTGAAATAATTTAACGTAGAGTAAATTCGGTGTTACAAGACGAGAGATAAAGACTTCAACATGTTTACTTTTAAAAAAGATAGGTTACTAGGTTAGGTTAAGTTCTACGTTTTAGAAAAGTGGCTAATGTACGGATCATTCATTGGTTTAAACAGAGTTTAAGGCTTGTCTCACAGTGGAAGCGTTTACGCGCGAACTGGGATTCGTACGAATACGTACGTTTATAGACGAACTATTCAAACGTACGATTTCAAACGGACCTTCGCACATTAGTGATTAATAAATCGTCCGTATACGTGCGTGTAATTGCGACGTGCGAACCGATCCCATTTTGTTCGGATTTTTATGCGAATTCGCAGGTTGTAGACGATTGTGCTTGTGAACAGTTGCTCAGCTCATGATGGATACGCAGCTAATGTGCGAATCCGATTTGTGCGTATACGGACGTACAATTTCTGACGTTAACATGCGTATTTCAGTTCGCGCGTAAACGCTTCCACTGTGAGACAAGCCTAAAGAGAGGTGGATAATACGTGACAAATCTGATTACTCAATGCGACGGTGAAATTCGCGATTCAGATAGAGGCGATGGTGTAATTTTACAAACGGCGAGTTTAGGTGGGAGCGATTTGTAAACATAGAATTATTCAGGTTATTCTAGTAGGTTTTTAAATGAAATTGTACCAATTGTAAAGTGAATTGAGTTTATCCTGCCGTTTTTGAGATTAGGGCCGTTTGCACCGAAAAAATTTAAGCGGAGCTTAGCTGAAGTGTAGCTTAAGATCCATGGCAACGATTATTGAGACATGGCTGCTATAGGTTATAAGCTCCGCATCATATGCTGTCAAACCGCATCCATTTTAGCAGGAGCGGTAAAAACGCATAGTGTGACACCACACCACCACACTTGGGTACGCGAAATTGCGACCTGGTGTTTTACAACGTAGGGAATCCGGCTATATTTTTAAGTGAGAGGTTTTCATTACTACACTGGTATTCCGAGTTAGTTTTTTCTCGCTTTTTGTTAGCTTTTTGTTAGTCAACTTGGGTACATCACAGTGTGTTCTAACCTCTACGCTCTAAGATTTTAATTTACTTCGTGTTGATAACTACGTTTTAGTTGACCAAGTCAAATAAACACTTTTATTATTTTTTTGCCACTCATGCTTGGATGGTAGAAATACAATTGTTTTAACAATTGCTAGTGTTGTATTTTTATGATACCCTCACTATACGTCGTCTGGTATAAAAACAGTCGCATGTAGCCGCCCACGACAAAACTTATGTCTTTTTCTCTTAGACCATATAGTACATGGACTGCTAATTGTAATTAAAATATAGTCAAGGACATCGCCTGGGTATGTGCGTTTCAGGGTAAACGAGTCTGTCCGAAATTGTCCGTTGAGACACGATTTGGGGCTGCCAACCTATAAATTCACAAACGTCAATTAATTAATCGCCTAGATAAGCCAAAAAAAGCAAACCTATTCTTATTTGTGGCAGTATAGAAGATAATCAAGAGTATCGTACTACGCGGTTGCCATAAAAGCTACTCTTTACGCGATCCGAGTGGTGTTCATACGACTTTAGTTTACCCTGAGATTCACATACCCACGACTACAGTGCCCTCTATCCGTGACCACCCATTTTGTATTGAAAGCATAGGGCTAATAGCAGTCCATGTACTATATGGTCTAAGCTTTTTCTTCGCATGGGCTAGATAGAGACGAGAATATAATAGCATAATTTGTGTACCCCTCACAGTCGACCAGTTTTGCAGTGGGCGGCTACTTGCGTTGATTGACGTGACTGTTTTTACACTAGAAGAGCAGAAGTAGGTGGGTGCAGTTGAGACACGAGATACCAAAAACATCTCCAAGAGACACCGAGTGACCGACAACGACATTAGAGACACAATTTGTGTGATTTGGATATGTTGAGGTTATGTTGTAAAAGTTGTAAATAAACTTTAGGAAAATCTATTTATTGTTTTATAATGATAACAAATACACACTAAACAAAAATGAGTGAACCGACAGATATATTACAAGCCATTGAAACATATAAAACACAGGTGGGTGTATAAATTGTATTAGTTTGGGTAAACTTTTTAGAGCCAATTGTAATGTAATATAATTGTGTAACTGTGATTTAACTGTTGGAAACCAGGCAACATCACAAAAATGCCCAATATCTCAAAAAATAATTGCCAATATTAGAGACTTTAATTATACGTCGATGGTTCAAATAAGTAGTTTCACATATTTAGGGCCGGTATTTCCATCTTCGGATAAAGTACTAGATTCGTACCTGCCAAATAACATACCGCCCGATATCTTCCGTTTATCTATCTGCGAGTATTTCCATCAACGTGCGGTATAAATATATCCCGTAGATAGCTACCTAACCATAGCCAATGTTGCCGATTTTAGAAGTCTGTAATAGAAAAAGATTGCGAACGGCAGGGCCATATATTAGAGCAAGATAGCTTGCTACCTGACAATTTGAACGAATGCTTTTGTTTTGGAAAGAAATTCAGTGACTTGTAATATACTTGTCAAACGTAAATTACAGAATAAGCTTTACTTATGAGTACTCTGAACATGAACCAAAATTGTGATGTAAATGCACCGCGTAGAAAGAAAAGGCTAATTTCAGCACATCTGAAAATCGTGTGCTTGTGTCAAGAAAATCTTGATCCATTTGGAAACTAAAATAGGTTACCTATATCCTTCAAGAAAACATAGTATGTATTTGCGTACTTCTACTTCCATACTTCAATTTCTTTCTTCCTATTTAGTATAGGTACAGTTGGTAATTTCGCAAATTTTTAAAACGTCACCAGTTTACTGGAAATTTGACGCAATATCCTGGGGTTATGTTGATAACTGCAGAAAATCTACCCAATAACTTTATCTAGAACTTATCCTGCCGATAATATTTAAACGAGGTTCGAAATACCCGAAGGGACGCTAACTGTCGGTTTACCTGGAAGGTATCTTATACTTGACTTTATCCCTAGATGGAAATATCGGCCCTTAGGAATTCTAGATACCTTTAAGATAAATCTAGATACCTTTCAGATTGGTTCGTTTGAAGTTTCTACAAGTAAGTTGAGTTGTTATGTTTGTGGGCACTGTAAAATAAATGCATTGGTCCTATATCACGTTCAACCCAATCCAATTTATTGAACAAATTTAATTCAAAACATTGATAGACATTGACACTGATATGAAGAACTAATTTTTTATTATTATGATGACAACAGACCACTTTTTTATTATTCACGTGTATATGCTTTAAAAATATTGAATATGCATTCTATGTGCACATCACTTATCAGATCCATATGAAAAGTTTATCAAAACGTGAAATGCATCAAGTTATTTATTGTGTGTTTGTCTTGGTTTTTAAGTTTTAACATTAATTAACAACCAGCCTATCCAAACTTGTCTTTGTGGGCATTTTTGAAAAGAGAATTTTGTGCCCTTTAAAATGATGGGTGAGTCGATGGGAGGTGCATATTATAATTTTAAAGTGAGGGTAGTCTCATGTTATATATTACATCATTTTTTTTAGTTGGCAGAAGTTGAGCAGGCCTTAACATCAACAGATGAAACGTCACAAAGAGTAGAGTTGCAAAGCTTACGAGACAATATTATACAATTAATTGAATTAACCGAAGAGACCCTGCAGAGAAGTACGATACCACAGAGCAATAGTAAAAAGAATGACTCTTTGGAAAATGAATTTGCTTTATTCATGGTAATTAAACTAACTGTTCATACTGCAAGTAGCTACAAGTTATAGTATTTAGGCAGAAATGGAAAAAGAAGGTGCCACAAATACATCATCGAATAATAAAGAAGATATTGAAAGTGAATTAAAACATTTGGAGGGCATGAAGTGTAAAGCACCACATAAACACAATTGGGGAGATGTTATGTATCACAATGCTATAGTGTGTTCTGTGGTTCTGGATGAGAGAGAGCATTATTCGTTTGATGAAATAAAGGTAATTTTTCAGTAGGTAAGTTATATTACTTTTTGAGAAATCGTGGATGCCCTTATCATGATATTTTGAAAGAGTCAAAGCAGAAATTTGGCCAATATATCGTTATCGACGGATAGCGGATATATGTATCAACAAACAAAAAATTGGTCAATCGCAATTCAAAATGTGGAGATGCGCATAGGCTTTTTGATTCACTGCATCTGCATCTGTAAAGGCTGTTAATGGTTTTTTTTTGCTTCTTTCCTCATTTGTTGTAGCATTTGTGCAATTGTTTTCCTAACGAATCATGAGCAATAATTTTTCATACATTTATAAATATTCTTGTAACTACTTACATTGCTGTGATAACACGCATAATTTTATGAAAAACGTCTCTTGAAACGATCATGCTATAGATGTTGATAAAATTTGTAGGTGTTTCTTCGTATAAAATTTTCTCAAAAATTTCTTTATCTTCAGAGATATTTTTTGTACATATAAAATCTCCTTTGTACGTTTCTCCACAACTTTGAATGCTTCAATGCTAATTCTTCCGCAATTAACTTCGCCGTGAGATTTGTTAGGTCTCTTTCAGCTGCAAGAGTCGATTCCCAAGCTATTGAGAAATGCTTATAGTGCTCCAGGAGTGTTAATTATATTTTAGACATCTCGTCACTTGTGTATTTCTTTAAAGATTTAGTCCTCTACAATTTGTACGCTATATATTTTTTGCTGTACATTTCGGTGTGCCCTGTGCTTTGAAAGAATTAATCCACGCCATCAGGGTTTTTGTAAGAAACCACCTTAACGTTTGACTAGTGGATATGAGATAGACTAAGGTACGATAATGCTTCACAGCAGTTCGTACACTTCTCTTTATTTTACACAGTGAGCCACACACTTTTTGTGACAACAGTAGCATTTTGTCGTCCTTGGCCATAAAGAAAAAGGTTCTACTTGCCATAGTCAATTTAGGGTTCTTCTCAGGGTTCTTGGACTCTACTGAGGTGAGTGTGTTCCAATGCTAAAAAACCTTCCTGGGGGTTGATTCATCATGACTCTATGGAAGATAGGTAGGTACTGACTTTTGTTCACGAAATCTGATTTTCCAGACGCCACTTA